GGATTACATTTGAAAACCACACGGGATAATCCACAAATGTCCACTTTTTGAATTAATTTAGTGCCATAATCATATAGTACTAGTGTATATCTATCACGTATAACAATATGAAAGAGTAAAACCACCTTGATCCTTTCAATATTTCGGATTTTAAAATCATACCACAATAGAACAGCAAAAATCTCATTGTTCTCAAAAGTAGAAAACTGTGACAACTGTGGTGTATCCCCCGTGATCTTCATTTGTTTTCAACTAACAACGTTTAGGCGCTGGTTTCAATGCGTGTTGATTCGGTAAACAAAAACAACCGAACTCTTATCGTGCCAGCTTTACATTCAACCCATACCCCCAAGCTGACAGGGCGGGGAGAAGGGGGTGACCAAATAAACCTCAACTCACGGGCCACCATTAATCAATATAAAAGATGGGAGGGAGGGGAGGGGGGGTAGAAATAACAATCCAGCACGCCCCGTCCCTAGGTGCCATCACCCTGGTCGCGCATCAGTGAGCAATCTTCCAATCTGATGCACCTAACTGGCGCGGTGTAGTGGGAGGGGGGAACATTAAAATAGCAGTTCCAAATTGTGCGCGTGCAAAATCGAAACAAGAATGAAAGCTGATTGAAACACAAAATAATCACAGAGAAGAGGAAATAGAGTTTAGTAATTACATTCCCAGTGTCCCCGCCTACGTCTTCTCTGAAGATTATATTATTTTAATACAGTCCCTAAACATGGGATCTATGTATCTTTAGTTTGACTCAAGGAATTATTTAATTATTTCAATTAAGTATAAAGCTGCAGGTCTTATAGGACCTACATGAAAAAAAAATCATTATTGATAGAACTTGATTTATGCACTGGAAATTTAGACAGATTTAAAAATGTCTTTTTTAAACCTTCCAGCGACTATTCTATGTAGCCTAATTAAACCTTCCACTCACCATATCACCTAGTTAAACCTTCCACCCACCATATAGCCTAGTTAAACCTTCCACCCACCATATAGCCTAGTTAAACCTTCCACCAACCATATAGCCTAGTTAAACCTTCCACCAACCATATAGCCTAGTTAAACCTTCCACCCACCATATAGCCTAGTTAAACCTTCCACCCACCATATAGCCTAGTTAAACCTTCCATCCACCATATAGCCTAGTAAAACCTTCCACTCACCATATAGCCTAGTTAAACCTTCTACCCACCATATAGCCTAGTTAAACCTTCCACACACCATATAGCCTAGTTAAACCTTCCACCCACCATATAGCCTAGTTAAACCTTCCACCCACCATATAGCCTAGTTAAACCGTCCACCCACCATATAGCCTAGTTAAACCGTCCACCCACCATATAGCCTAGTTAAACCTTCCACCCACCATATAGCCTAGTTAAACCTTCCACCCACCATAGAGCCTAGTTAAACCTTCCACCCACCATATAGCCTAGTTAAACCTTCCACTCACCATATAACCTAGTTAAACCTTCCACCCACCATATAGCCTAGTTAAACCGTCCACCCACCATATAGCCTAGTTAAACCGTCCACCCACCATATAGCCTAGTTAAACCTTCCACCCACCATATAGCCTAGTTAAACCTTCCACCCACCATATAGCCTAGTTAAACCTTCCACCCACCATATAGCCTAGTTAAACCTTCCACCCACCATATAGCCTAGTTAAACCTTCCACCCACCATATAGCCTAGTTAAACCTTCCACCCACCATATAGCCTAGTTAAACCTTCCACTCACCATATAGCCTAGTTAAACCTTCTACCCACCATATAGCCTAGTTAAACCTTCCACCCACCGTGTTTGCCTAGTTAAACCTTCCACCCACCATATTGCCTAGTTAAACCTTCCACCCACCATATTGCCTAGTTAAACCTTCCACCCACCATATAGCCTAGTATACCTTCCACCCACCATATAGCCTAGTTAAACCTTCCACCCACCATAAAGCCTAGTTAAACCTTCCACCCACCATATAGCCTAGTTAAACCTTGCACCCACCATATAGCCTAGTTAAACATTCCACCCACCATAAAGCCTAGTTAAACCTTCCACCCACCATATAGCCTAGTTAAACCTTCCACCCACCATATAGCCTAGTTAAACCTTCCACCCACCATAAAGCCTAGTTAAACCTTCCACCCACCATAAAGCCTAGTTAAACCTTCCACCCACCATATAGCCTAGTTAAACCTTCCACCCACCATATAGCCTAGTTAAACCTTCCACCCACCATATAGTCTAGTTAAACCTTCCACCCACCATAAAGCCTAGTTAACCTTCCACCCACCGAATAGCTAGTTAAACCTTCCTACCATCCTATGATAAAGACATGAGAATAAGATGCAAACTTTTAAAAGAGCTCGCCATTCATTACCCAACCAAATACAAATGAGATAACGTTTAACATTCAGTATAACTGTGCCCTGGCGATTTTTACTTGAGAAACAACAGCGACTACCTCTCCTGTATTTCACCTCATTTATCTGAAGAGATAACATCATGAACTACAGCAGCATCACAGACCCCAGGGAAAATGGAAAAACCACAGCCAGTATCACAAGATTAGCCGTTAGCTGGAGTTGTCAGGTCAGACCAGACAGGTCTCTAAAGATATAAACACATGACCAGGCAGCTGTAATACAGGTATGACGCAGGTATGATGCAGGTATAATGCAGGTATGATGCAGGTGTAATGCAGGTATGGTGCAGGTATGACGCAGGTATGGTGCGGGTATGATGCAGGTATAATGCAGGTATGGTGCAGCTGTAATGCAGGTATGGCGCAGGTATGGTGCAGGTATGACGCAGGTATGGTGCGGGTATGATGCAGGTATAATGCAGGTATGGTGCAGCTGTAATGCAGGTATGATGCAGGTATAATGCAGGTATGATGCAGGTATGATGCAGGTATGATGGAGATATGATGCGGGTATGATGCAGGTATAATGCAGGTATGGTGCAGCTGTAATGCAGGTATGATGCAGGTATAATGCAGGTATGATGCAGGTATGATGCAGGTATGATGGAGATATGATGCAGGTATGGTGCAGGTATGATGCAGGTATGATGCAGGTATGATGGAGATATGATGCATGTATGGTGCAGGTATGATAAACTTTACATTTTTATACAACCCAAACAATTCACTAAAATTTCAACGTCATCTATTCCCTTCCATTAAAACGTTTAATTCTATAATCCACTCCCCATACAGACATTTAAAACAATGAATTTGATGGCGTGATTTTACGATAATTTGAAACTTAAATTCAAAACGCAATGAATTCTATGTCGCGTTTTTACGATGATTTAAAACTTCAATTGAAAACGCAAGCTTTTCAAATATCAAAGTTGGATCTAATGCTTTCTCGCTTAAATTAGTTTCTAAATAATTTAAAATCATAAAATCAGACTGACTGGTTCCAAGCTAAATCCCCCACCCCAGTGGTAAGCGATTTCTCTAAGACCTGGCCACTCGTTATTTATCCGAAACGTATGCACAATGGCAGAATAACAGTTTCTATTTCTGGCTGCCCAGAACGTGCCAAGAATGAAACCCTAACCCTAATTCCCATAAGCGTTGAGAACAACGGAAGTGACATCAAGCGAAATTCACCCACCACCTCCACCACCCCTTTACCTTAATTAAAAACTCTGTTTTGGACGTACGCTATTCGGAATTCGTATTGTCTATTAACTACGATAAGTGTGGTAGTTAAGAAACCATTAATTTAAAAAAAGATATATTCCCTTGAAGACAAAGGTAGACCTTATTTGGGATGTGCGCATACACTTTGCGCAGTCTACATTAGAACCAGAAATGAAATGAAACACATTCTTAACTAAACGTAGCGCATCTCATTATTAAAATCCTATTTATCCGTTCATATTCTTTTTTCATACATTAAGTAAGGCACGTAAATATATCTAAGCTGTGGGGCATTTGAAGCCGTATGAGATTAAAGAGGAAACATCAGACAAGGGGAGATGATTGATATGGCACATCCATAGAAGCCCTGAAGTTGGAGTACAGGCACTTGAAAGGAATCAACAGGGAAAATTTTCAAAACCCAAGGATAAAATACAATTTTTTGAGGGCAAGAACTGGCGCATTGTTCGAAATGAACGAGTTGATATTTGTGTAGGCTTTTAGGAGATGAAAAAGAGCAGATTTCAGTTTGTGGTTTCAAGAAATTAAGTGAAATTCAGATAAAAAGGAATGGAAAAAAATCGGTCAATACAGACGCCAAAAACATGTGATTGCATTTGTTCAGTTCAAAGAATTTTTTTTTTCTTAACGTGGTTCAACAGAGTAGGTTGTGTGAAGGTGGTATTTGTTGCATCAATCGATTTTATCACGTGGCAAGCCTGTGTAACGTTTTGTAGATGGTCAGGATCAGTTTAGCTGCAGCATTAAACTACATGCGTCTCTATCTGTGCATGGAAAGATTTTTTTAAATTTTATTACGGAAGAGTTTCACTTACAAATAATGTCAAATATGCTGTCTCGTCTATATTGTAGAGCAACAAAGAGCAGCGGTTATACAGTTCTTTATACATTATAAAAAGTTGCGTCATAAGACTTTAGCAAACTAAAGAATTGCTGTCATGGGAGCTTAATTAACTAAAGACTTGATGTCAGAGGTCCTTGTCACCACGACCTCAGTCGAGCACACAGACATTTTTTATCCACAGCCACACACTACAATCTTTTACATCAACACGAAACACCTACAGACTTAAACACACACACAACACCCGACACCAGTTCCTACCAAACCCACACACCACGTCTCACAACTACACACTAAATCCCCCACACCCCCACACAGAGCACGTGCCCACACCAAGCTCTTACACACCCACACATCGCGTCCCTTTTACTCACGCGGCATTACCCCTACACCCACACATCACGCCCCCACACCCAAACACCACGTCCCACACAGCATCTATCACCCCGTGGGCCTAGTCTGACTTACAATCAAAAGCGTATTCACTGTGCTGGCTCTCATCCACCGCCATCAGGGCCACCCTCTCCTTTGGTGGCTCCGACATTTTGATCTGTGCACGTCAAACGTTAAGTGCGGCCCTCGCTTGTAACACGCGGCCCTCGCTAGTAGCACCAACTTGTCAGGTCTCCTGTGGACTGTATAAACGTCACAATTAGAAAAAAAGTATATCAAAACTTTAGAAACATGACGTAATGTCATTTAAAACAACAATGAGTCTTTTGAACATTACAATTAGAAAAATTAAATCAAAACTTTAGAAACATGACGTAATCGTATTAAAACAAAGTTGAATCTTTTCAACATTATAATTAGAAAAAGTATATAAAAAATTTAGAAACATGACGTAGTGTTATTAAATCAACAATGAACTTTTTAGAAATTACAATTAGAAAAATTAAATAAAAACTTTAGAAACATGACGTAATGTTATTTAAAATAACGTTGAATCTTTTGAACATTAAAATTAGAAAAATAAGGAGAGGAAACTCAAGCAATATGGCCCCTTGTCTAAGATGACCAAAACACTCAGGAAGACTATGCTAATGGTCACAGACTCACGTACTAGATCTACCCCCTGCTAACCCTTTCCTAGGGAAAAAAATGGAATTTTTGTTTTGTTAATGCAATGACAGGAAAGGAAATATAACCTATTAAAACCTAGAAAATATTAGCCATTCGAATGACATAGCTTAACTTTGTTATGATTCTGTACTGTATATCGTGACTGATAGAGAAATTAATAGAGTGATCTCCCCTAACTTGCGTGTCTCAGCAAATATATGTTGCGTGATTGGTCAAAGGTTAAAGAACCATAACAAAGTGGTCATTAATAGAGTCACTTTTTACTAAGCTCTGCACTATTCGTAAGGTCAGCTAGTTCAATCGAGATTAAATGATTGAAAGGAAGGCTGTGAAATTGAATATTTATTTAACTGGTAACGCGACTGTAACGACAAGTTTAGCAATAAACATAGAATTTTTTTAAAATGGAGACTAGAAGAAAGCTAATCAGCAAGAGATTTTAAAATTACATATCCGGTTTCGTTATCTGCGACGTGCTAGGTTTTACACATCAATTAAACTTAAAACATGCGTACGGTCGCTTGGCTAAAAGTCGATGGCTGGAACATTGCGTCACTGCTGGTGCATGCGCTTAAGATGTACAGGATGTGTTAGTTCCCCCACAGTGTGAGGGTCTATTATTTCCCCCACATTGTGAGGGCCTGTTAGTTCCCCCACAGTGTGAGGGCCTGTTAGTTCCCCCACAGTGTGAGGGCCTGTTAGTTCCCCCACAGTGTGAGGGTCTGTTAGTTCCCCCACAGTGTGAGGGCCTGTTAGTTCCCCACAGTGTGAGGGCCTGTTAGTTCCCCACAGTGTGAGGGTCTGTTATTTCCCCCCCCCCCCACAGTGTGAGGGTCTCTGAGTCCCGTCCCCCCCCCCCCACAGTGTGAGGGCCTGTTCGTTCTTCCACAGTGTGGGGGCCATTAGTTCCTCCACAGTGTGAGGGTCTGTTATTTCCCCCACAGTGTGAGGGTCTCTGAGTCCCCCCCCCCCACAGTGTGAGGGCCTGTTAGTCTCTCACAGTGTGAGGGCCTGTTAGTTCCGCCACAGTGTGAGGATGTGTTAGTTCCTCACAATATGAGAATGTGTTAGATCTTCCACAGTGTGAGGATGTGTTAGTTCCGCCACTGTGTGAGGGTCTGTTTGTTCCCCAAAGTGTGAGGGTTTGTTATTTCCCCCACAATGTGAGAATACATTAGTTCTCTATTATATGGGACCCCTAAGTCTCACCGCTGTGTTAGACTAATAGTTCCACTATAGCAAAAAATATTCCACATTGTGTGTGTGTGTGTGTGTGTACGTGTGTGTACGTGTGTGTGTGTGTGGGGGGGGGGTGAACTTAGAGAAAAAGTTTTGGGGTGGGTGGGTGGAGAGTGTTTAATAACTTCTAAAAAAAAGGAGCTGGGACATTACCTGCGCCCAGCACACATTTACTGTGCGCGTACCAATCCAGGGTGGGGGGAAAAAACAGGGTTGTTAAAATATTTCTTGAGCAGAAAGCTACACTGCCTCGCACAAAAACTGACGAGCAAAGCTGGCTAATTTACACCAGTTTAACGGCTAGCACAAAAATATTGTTTATAAACACGTTAGTGAACTATCCCAAACTGCAGGTATAACTGTTCCATATTTTGAAGGCAAGGCGAAATCAACTATGTATAAAAAATGTATAACCACCTTTCAAATGCACTAAAATAAACACATTTTTTTCCCCCAAATATGACAGTTAAAGCGTCGTTAGTTGTGTTAGTCGGTAAAATGTGTGGAGAAGATTTCTTTAGCGACCAATGCTTTTACCATTATACGTGTTTTATCTTTGCCTTATTACGTTTACATCAAAAAGCTTCTTATAAATGTTTTAATTTTTTATCAATCAAGCTTCTTTTCTGCTGTGTAATACGGAAAAAATAGGATAATTTAATTAAATGTTTAAGTTTGAAATCAATTAATATCACAGTTTCGTTCATGCAGCTCTGTACTTTGCCCCCCCCCCCCCCCCAAACGAAATATAATTTATATAGAAAATATATACTTTTACCAGTGTCCGCCTCCCGCCCCCTCGAGGAGAAAGTCTGAAAGAAACACTGATTAATACCAATGTATATTCCAATTTTGCTGTTATAAAGTAACTCTGCACATCCCTCTGGACAAAAAAAAATTCAATTAAACCCCACCAATAGCTTGCGATATACAAACTGTAGACGAGTAGCCTTTTATCTGCCTCCATATTGGTGTCCTTTCTTTTTACTCAGCATTTATAAGCAACATCAACACAAGCTTACGTAATTGATCGAGTCATCGCTAATACCAAGTAACTTACCCTTTTTCTGTTGAATTTAGTATACTTAAATTGATTTTAATTATTGATTTAATGTCTAATAAGATTTTTTTAAATAAGATATTATTGCACTGTTATCGGAGATGCATTGATTTGGAGTAAAAAAAAATAGCTCCAAGAATAAATTGGTCAAAATAGAGTTAAATTATTTGAATACGAAGCCAATTACTCACAGGTAGATAAACAAAGAAACAAACTGAATGTAACGTAAGAAAAGGCTTGGGGAAAAAAAACATTGGCGTCTGAACAACTAAAAAAGCTACTTGAAGGAGTTGAAATGTTGGCATATTATTATAGTTGTAACTTAAAATTGAGAAAAGAAAACAGAAATTTTCTAACAGGATAGAATCAGTTTTGTTTTTTTTGACGCGATTGTATAAGCTTGCAGGTGACGTCAGAAAACACCCAGACGATTAGCCAGAGCAAACGTGTTACAGCCAGCCTCTCTTGGGGTTAGGTGGGTGTGTGCTTGAAAAGGGCGGGTGGGGGGTGGGGGTCAAGGTTGGAGAAAATTGATTAAAAATATATTTTTTTCCTCTCACTGTTCAGTAACTTTGATGTGAGCGATAGGCCAGTTTCGGTAGCACTAGCCGAGCATTGTTTCTCGTCAATATTAAGCTGTTTCCGGGCTAAAAAAAATATCGATCCTGCTTGTGTACTTGTTGCTATTGCTCGCACATACACGAACTACAGGGTAATCGTTATAGACGCGTATTCGTACTCCAAGTATCGTCGTTGACGATACTATAACCCTCAACCCAATCATTACCCTAAATCTAAAACAAACGAAAATGGTTAAGGTAGGCGTATATTCATGTATAAAACCTGTTATTTAAAATATTGTTCCTGTAATCGATTTTTCATTCCAGCATATTTGTTCACGGATAATCAATTAGCTTCCAGTTTTCATGCACACGCAAAAGTCAATAGACGAATAGAAAAATAAAGTCACAATTCACATAAGTGGGCGTAGCAAGACATAACCACATCGCTTACCTGATAATCTCACGAAATCGGTTTCAAGCGTCAACGCTCAATATTGAAACACCTGACCTCGAAATTTCTTAATCCGGGACACGGAAGCAGGCGATTGATTAGGCTGAATTAGTCCTGGACTACCCAGTGGGTTTTTTTATTCGCTCACCACCCCGTGTCTTCCGTACACGTCTGCTAAATACATTGATGAACTCCTCGCTGGCAGCACGCGACCCCAGCACGCGCTTGGGAGAATAGGCGGCGCGCGCTGGATGAATGTGTTACAAGTTTCAACACTCCATTTTGTATTGCAGGCAGAGTAAACGCCCCTGTCGTGACCTTAATTAATTTTTTTTATTTAAAAAAAAGGGGGGGGGATTATTGAAATATATATCACAATAGTACAAATTAATGTGTTGTAATTATTAATTTATTTTCTTAATGTCATTTTCCTGTCATTATAACAATAGCTATACAATTTAATCCTTTAGTGTGTTACGAAAATCAATTACAGATCAAGAAAAATGTAGACAACATGCATGCAAGGTTTTTTTCAGGGTGTGGGGAGGTGGAACGGGGAAGGGAGGGGGGTTCTGAATCACATCCACCGCCCTGTGGTTGAACAAGAAAAGATATTAATAATTCGTATCTTTGTCCAGCCCACCCACTCCGAAGAGTTTTTTTTTTAAAGAAACCCTACATTCGTAAAATCACACACACACACACACACAATGATCAAAGACCCCTTAAAATATTCACATTAATTTTTCATTCTGGAAAACACTGGGCGTAATAACAATAAAAGACATTCATCAACTGTAATTAAGTCGCGCAATTAACTAATTAAAAACTAATGAGCATACGTCATCCTAATAAGAGTGCATTCCCCTCCTTCACTCCCAGTGTTGATCGTTCACTCCCAGTGTAGATTCCCCTCCTTCACTCCCAGTGTTGATTCCCCTCCTTCACTCCCAGTGTAGATTCCCCTCCTACACTCCCAGTGTTGATAGTTCACTCCCAGTGTTGATTCCCCTCCTTCACTCCCAGTGTAGATTCCCCTCCTACACTCCCAGTGTTGATAGTTCACTCCCAGTGTAGATTCCCCTCCTTCACTCCCAGTGTAGATTCCCCTCCTTCACTCCCAGTGTTGATTCCCCTCCTACACTCCCAGTGTTGATAGTTCACTCCCAGTGTTGATTCCCCTCCTTCACTCCCAGTGTTGATTCCCCTCCTTCACTCCCAGTGTTGATAGTTCACTCCCAGTGTTGATCGTTCACTCCCAGTGTTGATTCCCCTCCTTCACTCCCAGTGTTGATCGTTCACTCCCAGTGTAGATTCCCCTCCTACACTCCCAGCGTTGACATGCCCTCTAAACAAAGCGTGAGTCGTTGTTTGGTGAGCCGTGCACGACAATCAGCTCACCTTAATCTTGTTGGACAACTTCCTGTAACAAGATCACTGCAGCCTTGTAAACAAAACCCACACACCTGGTTTTTTTAAAACCCAAGCTTAAAGTACACTTAAAGCGTAAGTGTCGTTGTTTACTACAGATAACTTCAAAAGTTTTTTTTTTTAGGCAGCGAGCTTTGAACTAAAAAATTTCTTATTTTATTCTAAAGTGCATGTTTATAACATTCCTACATAGTTAATACATTTTTAATAGCTCATTAAAACAGTAAATTATATATAAACTAGTCCCGTTACTTTCCGTTACTTTCCAAATACTTTCCGTCACTTTTCAATAGTTTCCGTCACTTTCCAATACTTTCCGTCAAATTCCGCCACTTCTTACATTTTCCCGTCACTTTTCGTCACTTCCCAATATTTTCCGTCACTTTCCAATTGATTCCGTCATTTTCTAGAAGTTTCCATCCCTTTCCGTGACTTTCTGCATACCCCACCCTGAATTGGAGCAGCAAACCACAGGTGTAGCCAATAGGAACACTCTCACTGTAACGTCAGCCACGCCCAATCTCGATGATTGATGTATTCAGTTGTATTCAACTTAAAACTAAAACAATCTGAACAGAATTAGCATACATGTTAGACTGAAATACAGCCACCTTTTTATGTACTCTTCACTCACTTTACTCAGATATCATTGCTACGCCCCTGCGGAAAAAGTTTCTGGCATAAAGGTAGGCCACCACGAAAGTAAAAAAAAAAAAAGCCAGCTAAACTTTGGCCCCAACTCTGGCAATAAAAACAGGCGGTCCTGTGCTGTAGGACCTTATCACGTCCTGACTTACAAGGCGAACATCAGTATGGACTCACTAAAGATAGCTCTTCTTCTGGCCGTCCTAGCTGTCGGCCATTCGGCGAAAAGACACAGCCTTTTCCGGCCTTTGACCCAGCGAGGTAAGGGAGATAACTATAATAAATTGTTTAAGGGAGGGAATTGTTGTAGGAAGCAAAAATGGTAAGTGATCTTGTAAATGTAACATGAAAAAAAAAATACATTTTACCCATCCTCATTCCGTAGAACTTGCATATAATTTTAGGATCCATCCTACTCCTCCATCCCCACACCCTCTTTAAAGAGAAAAAAAAATTACGTTCGGTAACAAGTTGTGATAGAAATAATTGTAGCTTATGCCATAATTGAGAAACCAGAAAATAAGAGTATAAACTGCTAACTTGTTTTGTGTCAAATTATTCATACATTTAAAAAAAGGGCACTGTGAGGGTGGGGATTTCAAGAAAGGCCGGAACGAATGAATCCAATAACACACAGTTCAAGTTCAACTATAATTGTTCTTTATTAAATTTATAATCAGTTCTATCTAACCAGCCTATTCTACACTCTCTACTGTTTACTACTACTACTGACTGTTCACTATACTACTAACTCCCATGACCAATCCTAACACTAACTGTTCTCTACATTCTACAACGTAACACCTTCTACCTTCGCTAGCTAATCATGATCTCCTAACTATTTACATTCTCGGCCGTCTCTGCCGCTACCTAACAACTCCTGGCCCATCGCTCTACTGACCCACGCCTCAGTGGTCAGCTGACCGTCCCATGTGACCGGTCAGCCCTGTGCGCCCATTGGCCTCTATCTGACCAACCAACTATGGTCTATAGTCTGTTTCTGCTAACCTATATCTGCTAAACATGTCTGACGTAATCTTGCGTCATCACATATCTCCCTCCCTTTCTGTAGCTGACAAATTATATTTTTCAGCGTCTGCTACTAATCTAATACATCAACAACTATCTATCTTACTACTCTATTCTATCCCTAACATCAATCATAAAAATCAAACAAAATGGGACAGCACAGTTTACAAATACATAAAATCTTGTGTTCCTGAAAAAAAGAAAATGTCATTGTTCTAGATCTTGTGTAAGTATCCTGACATCTGTGGTGTCTCTGCTTGATAATGTATGTCTATGTTATAGTATGTGTGAATCTAATCATATGTAACTCAGTTCTGGCTAGGTTGTCCTGTACTGGCCTTGAGCCAATCTTAGTGGTAATGTGTAACTGGTTGAACGGGCTCAGCGAGCAGTGTGTTTGTGTAAGTGTTATGTAATCGCTGGCGTTCCTCTGTGGTGGGTGGGTTGTGGCGTTGGTCGACGTAAATTCCCGTGAGGCGGGTGTAGGCGTAACTTTCGTTGGTCAATGTGATGACGCAACAATCTCATCTCAACGCTGGTTGAGACGTCCACGTAGAGTGGTTATATGATGAACTGGAGCTGTCCGATGCGGTGGCGAACAATGACGCAACATTCCGACGCTGGGAACTTGGACGATGGGTCGTCTACCCTTTGTATGTGCCGACGTAGGTGTACGTAGCTGGCGGTCTGTTATTCAACCACAGGTTGGGGCGAAGCGGTGGCGATGCGTCCGTTGTCTTGACCAGGGCAATTCTCTGTTAAGCAAGGCTGTTCGCTGTCCAGGTAATTCAACGTAATCAGGGCTTCAGGTGGCGGCATTCTTTGAAGTGTCTGCTTCATCTCGTCTCATTCTGAATAAGCGTAGTGGGTCTGAAATTGTATTACGAGACCATGAGCAATGGTTTTACGTGACCATCTTAGTGCCCGCGCAGACAAGTATTCAGACAGAGGTACCTTCCATTAAAAAAAACCTCAATCCCAAATTTAAACGTGCTGAACACTTGTCTGGCGGTATAACAAACATTAAAAAATAACATTACAACATAACCAAATAAAAAATCAGTACACTCTAATCTAACAACAATCTGTAAAGCCTAATAAACTCAATAGACGTAAACACTACTAGAGCTTAGAAATAGCTTCACAAAAAGAATAGACATGTGAGTGTATATCGTCATATAGTGGAGCAGCTCTCACTATCTGACTTTTGACGACTTAAACTGGCTTGCTTGACTTAATGACTGACTTCACTTATGACTTCAGTACCTTGACTGACTTCAGTAACTTTGACTAATTTCACTTTGACTTCAGTAACTTGACTGACTTCAATTTAACGACTGACTTCACTTTAACGACTGATTTCCTTTGACGACTGACTTAATTAGGCCTCTCTGACTGACTTCGACGACATCACTTTGACGACTAATTTCACTTTAACGACTGATTCCACTTTGACGACTTCAACTTGACGACTAACTTCACTTTGAAGACTAACTTGACCTCGACGACTTCAACTTCAATTCAACTTAAAAGACTTCACTGACTGACTTAACTTCGACGACTTAAACGTCTTCACTTTGACTTCAAAGACTTTTCCTTGACTTCAACGACTTCAATATGACTTCAAAGACTTCACTTTGACATCAACAACTTCAATATGACTTCAAAGACTTCACTTTGACTTCAACGACTTCAATATGACTTCAAAGACTTCACTTTGACTTCAACAATTTCAATATGACTTCAAAGACTTCAATATGACTTCAAAGACTTCACTTTGACTTCAACAACTTCAATATGACTTCAAAGACTTCAACGACATCACTTTGACTTCAAAGACTTCACTATAACTTCGACGATTTCACTTCTTCACTATGACCTCAACGACTTTAATATAACTTCAAAGATATTTCTTTGACTGCAACATGACTTCAACTACGTCACTATGACCTCAACTACGACTTCAACAACTTATTGACTGACTTGACTGACTTCAAATAACTTCTTTGACTTCAGTTCTGATTTATACTTCACTGACTTCAATAACACTATTGACTTCAGATTTGACTACACTGACTTCTGACTGTACGACTTCACGTCGATTCCTCGACTACTTAGATTAACACAAAAATACTCGACTTGACTTCACAATTATGTCCGTTGTTCAAAATCATTTGTGGGGGCGGTCCGGGTCACATTCTTGGTCATGGGGTTGATGTTCTAGGGCAGTTGCGTGTTATCTATGTGTTGTACTTTCCGTTTCATTAATTCTAACGCTAACTCTGCTTTTGTTCTTGACATTTCTTACTATCTTGACTATCTTGTTTTCTAACCTATTCTCTACAAATGTTTCAACTTCTTCTCCTGTTTTGTCTAATGGTATGCCCTGTTTATAGCATTGAAACTCTGCCTCCATGGTTGTGTATGTGTGTGTGTGTGTGTGTTGAGGAAAGTAAACAAAACTAAGGCAACAGGGCGTAACAATAGAATGTATAAGGCAGAAAAACCACTGGCACAAACTATCCAGCACGGGTATAAACCCAAACGTTTAAAAAAAATTTTGGAAGGTACTTATCTTTTTGGACTTGTAGACTGTTTCCTTGTGTTGTTAATCCAAACTCGTTCCGGTTGAAGAAACCCGCTGTTGTGTTGAGTTGAAGAAAGCTGTACACCAGTCGTACTCCGTCATGAATAGCTGATATACGTTCTTTCCCTTACTCGACCCGCGCTCCACCAGATGTGAGGGTGGGGATTTCAAGAAAGGCCGGAACGAATGAATCCAATAACACACAGTTCAAGTTCAACTATAATTGTTCTTTATTAAATTTATAATCAGTTCTATCTAACCAGCCTATTCTACACTCTCTACTGTTTACTACTACTACTGACTGTTCACTATACTACTAACTCCCATGACCAATCCTAACACTAACTGTTCTCTACATTCTACAACGTAACACCTTCTACCTTCGCTAGCTAATCATGATCTCCTAACTATTTACATTCTCGGCCGTCTCTGCCGCTACCTAACAACTCCTGGCCCATCGCTCTACTGACCCACGCCTCAGTGGTCAGCTGACCGTCCCATGTGACCGGTCAGCCCTGTGCGCCCATTGGCCTCTATCTGACCAACCAACTATGGTCTATAGTCTGTTTCTGCTAACCTATATCTGCTAAACATGTCTGACGTAATCTTGCGTCATCACAGGCACAAATAAGAATAAGGAAACCCAAACGCAGTTTTAAATAACAAATTTATCTAAGCCAACACAGTATTTAAATAATGCGCGAGTGATCTTCCCTGAACTTTCTCAAATATACAATTATGACAGTACAGCTTGAAATGGCACAGAAAAGATCCAGTGCAGTCGAGAAACTGTGAGTTTGTGACAAAAAAATGCTCGTTCGTATAGAAAACTCTTCGAGGCTAAAAACTCCTTAGAAAATGCCTATTAGAATATGATATAAAATTTTAAATTCTGGTGGATTTTTTGAGAAACCGGAAATTGAGCCGATTAGCACGTCCGGATACCGGAAATTGCACAAAGGTTGATAGAAAACTACAAATAGGATCAAATATACTCAAATATACTCAAATATATTCGTTGTACACAAATACCATTCCCGATTAACGAAAATCTCTCAAAAGTTGAAAAACGCATATCCAAAAATTCAGTCCACCTGAGTGAAACACGTGATCGGCATTTTAAAATCGGAAAAAAAGGCAAGTACCACTTCCGGATATTTGATACTGCTTAAACAATTGAAAATAAAACGTATATCACTGTATGAAATTTCGCCTACCTAACTAAAACTGTACTCTAGTTATCTTCTTAAAACATACAGACACACACACACACACACACGAACACGCTCACATAAAGACAATATTGGGGTTTTCCTTCTCAGGAAGGTGTTGTACGTCGCATTATTTCAATACCCCTCTCCACCACAACACTCCATAATACGAGAAAGTAAAAAAAAAACGTCAAACGTGTATTTATCGATGAAAACCTTCGATGATCATCATTGTAAGTTGCATGAGCCCATCTGACTTGTCTTCTCTGTCCAGTCGTGTGTCCAGCCAACGAGTTCCAGTGTAAAGATGGTTTGGCTTGTGTGCCCCTGAAGTGGACCTGCGACACTGAGGCCGACTGTAATGACAGGTCGGACGAAGCACTCAACTGCCGTACGTCAGGCTATAAGATGGTCTCATTTAGTCAATCAAAGGTCTATGACACCTGCATCAACGTTAAGATTGGTCTGGTACAAGATTGGTCTGGTACAAAACTGATCTGGTACAAGATGTGTCTGGTACAAGATTGGTCTGGTACAAGATTGGTCTGGTACAAGATTGGTCTGGTACAAGATTGGTCTGGTCTGGTACAAGATTGGTCTGGTACAAGATTGGTCTGGTACAAGATTGGTCTGGTACAAGATTGGTCTGGTACAAGATTGGTCTGTTACAAGATTGGTCTTGTACAAGATGTGTCTGGTACAAGATTGGTCTGGTACAAGATTGGTCTGGTACAAGATTGGTCTGGTACAAGATGTGTCTGGTACAAGATGTGTCTGGTACAAGATTGGTCTGGTACAAGATTGGTCTGGTACAAGATTGGTCTAATACAATATTGGCCTGGTACAAGATTTTCTGGTACAAGATTAGTCTGGTACAAGATTGGTCTGTTACAAGATTGGTCTGGTACAAGATTGGTCTGGTACAAGATTGGTCTGGTACAAGATTGGTCTGGTACAAGATTGGTCTGGTACAAGATTGGTCTGGTACAAGATTGGTCTGGTACAAGATTGGTCTGGTACAAGAGTGGTCTGGTACAAGAGTGGTCTGGTACAAGATTGGTCTGGTACAAGATTGGTCTGGTACAACATTGGTCTGGTGCAAGATTGGTCTGGTCTGGTACAAGATTGGTCCTGTACAAGATTAGTTTTGTACAAGATTAGTTTTGTACAAGACCAAGATCGATTTATTGTGATATTGGTCGGGTAAAAGAATAAACTTTTTCTAGGCTATTTTTTTTTTCACGTACTTTTTTCAGGCCAAACTCTTAATGAGGCAGGTAAAGTAGAGTGTATCTGTTTTTTTATAACTCCCGTCACATGAAAAGATAATGTGATCGGAACTAAGCAATGGCTATCCGCCCTGAACTTAAAACTGAGTGGGAAAACGTTTTTCCTAAACGATTGTGGAAAATGATTGACGGCAATGATTGAAAAAAACCACTGAAGATTATTTTTTAAAAGTGATTTTAAAAGAGTTTTTAAATATATTTTTTATAATCAATTGTATTTCGAGTTTTGGCACAATTTTATTCCTATCTGAGCGTCTCCAAACCTAAAGAAAGACATGCCGACGTGGACACGGCTATGCATGTGTTACATTTTACGAGAAAGATTAGATAAACGTGTCGAGCGTGCAATTCTAAAAATAAATGTTGAAAATTTTGAATCTTTTAGTTTAATGCACATGCTATGATTACGTGTTTTATCTGAACATGAAACAGATTTTTAAAAGGAACGAACGTTCATCTTTACGAACTTAATGCAATCATTTGTTTATTTAGGCCAATGCCGTTAAAACTGTGCCGCGGGTTCAAATTATTTTTGAAAACGCGATTAGTAAAAAAAAAAGTGAAAACCATTTATGGTATTTTCGATTGATGTTTAGTTACTGATGGGTCATCCATAAATGACGTCACGCTTCTTAGGTAAATTTGTACAGCCAGACCTTCTTTCATCCCCCCCCCCCCTTTCCTCAATTTTGCAGTTTTTGTTTTTTAAACTTTTTAAACACTTTTAAAAATAAACTTGATTTTATATTCTAGAAGGTCAAATACCATTTTTTTTTATAATCCTAAGTTATTTTCTAAAATCATTGCCGTCAATCTTTTCCCACGATCAATAAATCTAAGAAACAGTCAATGTTTTAAGTAGATTTTTTTTACTAGTAATCATTTGATTATATTAAGCAACTTTTTTTACAATTCACAAAAAACAATCTTCGAAAAGGAACGCAAAATAACGGTTAAGATTAAGTTTTTCCATTACTTTTTATAATGCAAAAAGTGTGTCGTCACACTTTTTAACCCCATTCCTCCCTTTCGTCAAATTTCGCCACAAAATTCCGATTTCCCTCCCCCCCCCCCCCCCTCCGCCCGTTTTTCCCCTTGGTAACCAAATGTCATATTCCTTCATGTTCCAGCGACTGACTGCTCACACGCCAACCAGTTCCGATGCGACGATGGTGAGTGCGTGTCCAGAGACTTTGCCTGTGACGGTGGAAACGACTGTCAAGACGGATCAGACGAGCAGAAATGTGGTCAGTAGAACTGTTTTCACAATCACAAACATGTAGACAGTAGAATAGCGAATGGTGTAAATACTAAAGGAAAAGGGACGCAACTGGTAAAATAATTATTAATGCTGAGCTACCTCCCTTGCTCAACTAAAAATATTTTTAAAACCACATTATTTAAAACTCGTATAACAAAATAGATCAAGACAGCTTAAAATACTGGCAATAACAATGTAAAGCCAATGTATAAAAGCCTAACCAGAATAATTTGAATTTGAAAAAAAAAAGATAAATGTTTTTAACAATCAAGGAAACAAATTATTTAAATTGTTTGCGTTAAACCCCCAGTTTTTTCCCCAAATATTTTCTCCAGTCTAAATAATCAGCATTGGTTATTTTTTTTAAATTGTTTCTGTTAAGCCTTATTATAGCCTTTAGCTCAATGTCCAGACATACCCCCTCCCTCCGCACACACACGACATGGGCTATTTGACCACCAAGTTCAAATCCCAGCCATACCCATCCCCCCTCCACCTTCCACACGCACACAATCACACCACATCACCCAGGATTTACCTCTCCCACCCCATTAAATGTCCAGCTTTCACGCCAGAAACAATACCCCATCCAATCAATACCGCCAATATAATACTTTGACGTTAAAACCTCTGAGACTAACACCCCATACAGAACCTCTGTAAACGAAGTTGTTCCTCTGTGAGACTAACACCCCAAACAGAACCTCAGCTTTCACCGCAGAAACAATACCCTATCCAATCAATACCCGTAATATGATACTTTGACGTTAAAATCTCTGAGACTAACACCCAAAACAGAACCTCAGGCTGTAAACAAAGTTATTCCTCACCCCAAACAGAACCTCAGTCTGTAAACAAAGTTGTTCTTCTGTAAGTTAAAATCTCTGAGACTAACACCCCAAAAAGAACCTTAGTCTGTAAATAAAGTTGTTCCTCTATAAGACTAACATCCCAAAAAGAACCTCAGTCTGTAAACAAAGTTGTTCCTCTGCTTGCTGCTCACGGACTGTTCCATTCACAGCTGATTTCGTCTGTCCTGACGGTGAGATCAAGTGCGACAACAACATTTGCATCGAGTCGGTGTGGAAGTGCGACGGGGAAGACGATTGCGGGAACGGATGGGACGAGAAAAACTGCAGCAGTTGAAGGGTTAACTTTAAGGATGTCGCACGTCATTTCAGGGGTTAATTTAAATACGCGTGGGGTTACACAAATGTAACATGATAACTGCAATTTAAATGGTTGAATTATTGTTTTAATATGTTTACAAAATATATGCAAATAAACAAATATTTTGAAAAATGTAAAGGATTTTAGTTATATCGTTTTGGTAAAATTGCTATTTCGACCAAGGCTGCAATTAAGAGCGAAAAAGAAGACTGAAACAGGTTTTTACTACAATCAGCTAGACAAACAAAGCAAGATTCTATGATGGCCTTCTAACCCACCCACCCACCCCCCCCCCCCCACCCCCAAATGACCAGTACGGTTAGCCCTATTAATGGTAAATTATGTATTTGTATTTTTTACGGACTTCGTGCAACAGTAAAGATGGCATTACGTTGTTTTTATTTTATCTGCATATCAAGTGGTTAGATCTATTCGGCTAGTAACGATGTGGTCGGTGTAAAACAAGCTAATACAGTCGGTAAGAATAATTAAATTAATGAAAGGAAACCCACCGATATAAATACAATTCAGAAAGAAGAAGAAGAAGCTAGTCTATAATATAACGCTGATGGTTGTGTGTCAGTCCTTCCGTCATGGCTATAGACGGGACCATAAAGTAAATTCACCACACGTCGTACTTTTTACTTGCATTGCAGTGTTTTATTATAAACATATGGTTAGTGTTTATTTATATAACGACTAAACATTTTTTGTATAGTTGGCACTGTTTTTACTCTTTTGCTTAACGTCAATAAAATATTAAATAAATACACAGGGTAAAACATATTAAACGGAACAATGTCATTTTGTCCAATAATACTTTCGCTTAGATTACTAGAAAAAAATGATACATTTTAATAACAGTATGGTCAAAAAACTAATTAATTAAAATCTTTTATAATATTGCCAGGGTAGGTAATTTAAAAAGAAATTCAACTCACACTAATAAAAGAATGTGAATGCGAATTCTGCGGACATGCAAGAGGACATTATAGTTAGAATATTATAATAGCAGGGATTGATAAAATGCACAGCAGTAGGTAAAACACGGATATTTTAAACTAGCTGCATCCCGTGCTCCGCCACGGTAAATCTTTTTTAAATGTACCTACTTGGGAACAGAAAAAAGCTAAACACAAAACAAACGAACGCAAAAAAAAAACACAAACGAAAAAACAAACACAACACTCATAACATAAACACAATTTAAATGCAATCATAAAGGCGTATTGCTCACAGTCTAGTCCGTAGCGCCAAATCGCGCCCTTTCCGAGCGCCGGCGGACGCGTCTGACACAAAATTTCAATTTCCACCCTACCCCTTAAACTTTTGATTTGCACCCCCCCCCTCTGCCCTAAAGCTATCGATTTCCACCCCCACCCGCGCAAATTGTTTCCAACCCACTTTGGCGCCTCCTAAGGTCGGCACCCGGGGACATATGCCCCCCCCCCCTCGCTACGCCTCTCCTATAAAACCCCCAGCTCTTCCGCAAACCGAAAGATAGAATAATAATAAATAATATACAATAAATAAAAGGCAATATTTAAAATATCCGTGTTTTACCTACCATATAGATCTATCACTTTATCAATTCAAGCATTTTTTTTCCAGTACTTTAAATTTAAAAAAATTTACCATAGTGTTTCATAACTAAAACCATTGCGCACCCAATGAACGTGATGACGCGTCTATAATAGGGCGGAATAGTTGATTTAAAAAAAAAATCATAAAAAACGTTTTAATATCAAGCTTTTATGTAATAATGCACTAAAAAGTAGAAAATAAATTATAGACTACTATTTAAATAACTTTGAAAAGCGTGGGTCACTTTAGTATCTATTGGATAGTATCCATTTGGATACCTTTACTAATGTTAAGGAAGACACCCACGCTTTTCTTTATTGTTGTTTAAATAGTAGTCTATAATTTATTTTCTACTTTTTAGTGCATCGTTACATAAAAGCCTGTTATTAAAACGTTTTTTATGAATTTTGTTTTTCAGTACTTTACATGTTTTATTTACAATAGAGTTACATGACTAAAAACTATTGCGCGCCTACTGAACGTGATGGTGCAGCCATTGAATTAATTTATAAAAAGTTAATTAGGCATCCAATTAAGTCAAATTTAATGTCACTATGCATTGTCTTCATGTCTTGACCCACGTGCCAACTGTGAATCGTATCGGTCAAGTAGAAGTGTCCGAATTTTCACTCCTGCGTTTCGATCTAGACTGACGACAGACTGACGACAGAGGAAGTGAGTTAAATAAAAGCTTGTAAAAATTATGAGTAGTAAACAGTACATTCACTGAATAAAATAAATAAAAGATTGCCTTTATCAATCCATGCTAATTATAATTTTCTAACAATAATTTCCTCTTCCACATCCGCAAAATTGCATTCACATTTTGAAAATTATATTATTGCAACACTAATTCCTTCTAGGACGTCCGTAAATTTGCATTCATATTTTTTTTTTATTAGCGTGAGTTTAATTTATTTTTAAATTACCTCCCTTGTCAAAATTAGAAAAAAGAGTTTAAATTAAAGAGTTAAATAAATTTGATTTTTCTACCCTACTGTTATTATGTTATTAAAATGTATCCAATTTTTCTGGGAGTCTAAACGAAAATGATATTTGACATTAATTTTTTTAAATATGTTTTAGCGGTGTGCGTGTATTTAATATTTTCTTTACGTTATGCGAAAGAGTAAAAAAATTCATAAAAAACGTTTTAATAACAAGCTTTTATGTAATGATGCACTAAAAAGTAGAAAATAAATTATAGACTACTATTTAAATAACTATAAAGAAAAGCGTGGGTCACTTTAGTATCTATTGGATACCTTTACTAATGTTAAGGAAGACACCCACGCTTTTCTTTATAGTTATTTAAATAGTAGTCTATAATTTATTTTCTACTTTTTAGTGCATCATTACATAAAAGCTTGTTATTAAAACGTTTTTTATGAATTTTTTTTCAGTACTTTACATGTTTTATCTACAATAGAGTTACATGACTAAAAACCATTGCGCGCCTACTGAATATCACGTTCAGTAGGCGCGCAATGGTTTTTGAACGCAGCCATTACGTGGTCGTGATGGCGCAGCTATTGATGACGCGTGTGGTGTGGTTGGCTAGACAAGCCTACTAATTCGGTCCAAATTTTAATTAATTCATAAAAAATTAATTAGGCATCCAATTAAGTCAAATTTAGTTTCAGATTGCATTGTCTTCATGTCTTGACCCACGTGCTAACTTTGAATCGTATCGGTCAAGTAGAACTGTCCGAATTTTCACTCATGCGTTTCCGTCTAGACTGACGACTGACGACAGACTGACGAGGAAGTGAGTTAAATAAAAGCTTGTAAAAAAATTCATAAAAAACGTTTTAATAACAAGCTTTTATGTAATGATGCACTAAAAAGTAGAAAATAAATTATAGACTACTATTTAAATAACTATAAAGAAAAGCGTGGGTCACTTTAGTATCTATTGGATACCTTTATTAATGTTAAGGAAGACACCCACGCTTTTCTTTATAGTTATTTAAATAGTAGTCTATAATTTATTTTCTACTTTTTAGTGCATCATTACATAAAAGCTTGTTATTAAAACGTTTTTTATGAATTTTTTTTCAGTACTTTACATGTTTTATCTACAATAGAGTTACATGACTAAAAACCATTGCGCGCCTACTGAATATCACGTTCAGTAGGCGCGCAATGGTTTTTGAACGCAGCCATTACGTGGTCGTGATGGCGCAGCTATTGATGACGCGTGTGGTGTGGTTGGCTAGACATGCCTACTAATTCGGTCCAAATTTTAATTAATTCATAAAAAATTAATTAGGCATCCAATTAAGTCAAATTTAGTTTCAGATTGCATTGTCTTCATGTCTTGACCCACGTGCTAACTTTGAATCGTATCGGTCAAGTAGAACTGTCCGAATTTTCACTCCTGCGTTTCCGTCTAGACAGACAGACAGAGGAAGTGAGTTAAATAAAAGCTTGTAAAAACAGTGGCATTTATAAAATAACCTTATGTCGTTTTATAAACAAACTCTACTCTATTACTTATAATAAGACGCTGCGATGCACTGAAAAGCACTGCATGGTGCGATTTTTACTTTTATGGTTCCAAAAGCTATAGCGATGACGGATGGAAGGAAGGACAGACACTTATATTATAGATATTGCCTTTTGTTTATTTTATGGATAAGTTGGGGTATTATAGTCGTTTACTAAGTTGAATCAGGCTGGGGTTTTTTTGCGTTTGCATTTTTGCTTGCATTGTGTTTGTTTTTTCTTTAGAGTTCGCGTGTTGCGTTTGTGTTTTGTTTTGTTTGTTTGAGTTTGCATTGTGTTTGTGTTGTGTTCCGTGTTTTCTTTTGAGTTTGTGTTGTGTTTGTGTTTGTGTTTGCGTTGTGTTTGTGTTTTTGTTTGCGTTTTGTTTGTGTTTTGCGTTGTTTTTTTGTGTTTGCGTTGTGCTTGCGTTTAGTTTTGTTCTGTTCCCAAGTGGTACATTTAAAAATGATTTACCATGGCGGAGAACGGGTTTGCAGCTAGTATATATTACTTAGCGCCTTTTTGTGCACTCGCCGTTCCCCTAACCTGAAAACCTGCTTAGACCACTGGCTAGGATATTTATTTTTCCTGTGTAAGTATATAATGATGTGACAAACTGTATTAGGTCAATGTTCATGGCAGGGTTTTTTTTATAGATTCAGAATAAATATATTTTTAGCACAGTCATATATAAATACTTTAACAAATGTGAAATCGTAGAATTGCGGTTTTTCAACGCTCACATTTATAACTGTAATACCAAACATTTAAAGCGAAAACGTTGCCTAGACCTGTAGCTTAACGTGAGACAGTTGTCATTTGGGGGGGGTGAATTTTTACAGTTGAGTGAACTCTATAATGCCCAGAAATTTTGTGTCTAATACATGTTTGTAACAAAAACTAGATTTGATGTGATTCAGGTACTGCCTCACTAAGCCATGCCAACTCACCGAAATCTGGCAGAAAGGATTAAAATATCTTTTTAAATGTGAAAATACTTTGGTCTTTTTAAACTCTACGGCTAGATATTTGCTGGACATAGACAGCTGTCGAGGCAGACGATCAAAATGGCGTCAGTCCGTCTTTGTTTGGTGTTTTTGCTACTCAGCATCGCTGGTGCCTTATGTCGGAAGACCTCGAAGAAAAGTCTACTAGATGTACACACGCGCGGTGAGTAGTGTTGTCGTCTGCTTCGGTGGTCTTCAACCGGAGATGTTTTCTAATTTTATTCATAAAAAATATTATTTTTATTCAACCTGTTTAGGTACTTTCATAATAACACTAGCGACACAGATGTTTTTTTTTTTAAAGGCTACTGTAAAACTTAAGTTCTGAGACTGTCTGGGATTAGGGATAAACGGTATAACCGTTTCACTAACATTACGACTAAGAAGAAGAATAAAAACAATTATTTTGAACGTGTGCAAAAACATCAGGATTCAGTGTTTGACCTCATGCATACTTGGGAAATAGAAAAGAAGTAGAAATAAAAATAATTAATGTAAAAGTTAAATTAAGCTTTTTTTATAAGGTTAAATGAAGACCGCATGGTTGTTTTTTAGATGCTTGTAAATCAATAGCCTGGAACCGGTTTAAAGTGGAAGGTTGGGGCCCTATGCTCCTGGATTAAAGAGGATTAAGTCAAGTTTTATAAGGTTAAATGCGCATATTATAAAACAAAGTGATTTTTTACTAAAAACTTAAGAAAAGTTCCCATGTCTTAACAGACTACTAGTCTTCATCCTATTGTAAGACCTAATGGTCAGAAGAAGGAACTTCCGCTTGAATTTTTTTTCCACTTCCCTACTCAATGTCGGACATATCCGGCTCAGAAATCATATCTTTCCGTAAGCCTGGCAGACGGAAGATATGTCTAAGTTCGGCTAATGGCTAAAAAGATACTCATGTCATCATCATCCTAGCAGGCTCTCGTCCAAGGGTTCTCACAATACTCACATGGTTGTTCTTCCGTCCTCTCATAACTGCAGTAAACACTAGGCTCCGCCGATTGAGACTAAGCTCGGCTGACTAGAAAAAAATATTTGACAACTTGTCAGTCATGGTCGGGAGCCTGAGATAATAATGATAAGATCTTGTAACTCGTTTCACCATGGCTAACATCTATTTCTAGCGACGTGCCTGTCCACCCAGTTCGCCTGTAGGGACGGGCTCAAGTGTATCCCACAAAAGTGGGTCTGCGATACGACTGACGATTGCAACGATGGCTCCGACGAGAGAGTCAACTGTCGTGAGTTGATAACATTTCTACTCTCTTGTACAAAGGTTGAAGTTGTTAACTTAATGGGTGTGCTGTTGACTAGAACTAGAATTTATTCAAAATATTGTTCGCACACATTTCAAAGTAAAAGTGTCTCTTGATATATATGTGTGTGTGTATCTGTGTGTGAGTGCGTGCGTGTATGTGTGTATGTGTGTATTTGTAGTTACGATTTATCATATCAATGCAGACTACATTATCTTTAGTTACATCACCACTATTTTGATGTAATCAGTAACTGCTAACTCAATTGAACTAGCTACAATTAAACCTGACTCTAACCAATACTTGTGTAACCTGTGTCCTGTCAGCCACTGACTGCTCCCACGTCAATCAGTACCGCTGTGTCTCCGGAGATTGCGTATCACGTGACTTTGTGTGTGACGGTGGCCGAGATTGTATGGACGGCTCAGATGAGTTAAGATGTGGTGAGGCGCCATTTTGTATTTCTTCTTCTTCTTCGTTCTTAATTTTAGTGTTGGAAGGGATCCCTCCAACACAATTAAGTATACGCGTCAACAGGTTATGCGCCATTGAGGCCATTTACTCCGATTTCAGCCTGATTTACTTTTTGGATTTGTTTGAATAGCCTTTGTTCAACCAAGAACTACAAGACAGCAGTTGTTTGATTTTCGAGTCTAACCTAGAAGAGTGGCTGTCCCCAGCTAACGAGCCTCATCTGCCCGAGGGTTCGAACTCGAGACTTTTCGATTTAGCAACCAATAGCTTTACTGTTTCGACCACGCTGTCCCATATTTTGTGTTTAATATTGTTGATATTGCAAGTGCAAATCTTTAACTGAAATATGTAAAATTGTGATTTTGTGTGTCTTTTTTTAGAGGAATTTGTTTGCTCCGAGGGCGAGATCAAGTGCGACAACCACATCTGTATAGAGAGAACCTGGGTGTGTGATGGTGAAGATGATTGTGGCAACGGATGGGATGAGAAGAACTGCGTCGGTTAAACGGAATTGATTCAGCCTTGTCAAGTGATGCTTTTCACTGACCTATCCCAAAAATTGGATATATTTGATTTTTTTCCCATTAACGTCTCTTAATATCAGATCATTGATCATCGACTAATTAGTCTGAATCGAAAAAAAGAAATATCCCCTTATCATCTAAATAAAGAGGTTACCTGCACAAAAGAATGTGTTTCTGTGTAGATTTTTTTTTGTCTAGCAGTTTGTAAACTACACGGATAGTTTAGTGACAAAAAGCGCTAATCTTGTTCGTTTAGCTGATATCTTATGTAGCACATCATCCAAACGCCAACTCTAACCATAACCCTCTCCCTAATCCTATCTCTAATCCTCAATGTGAACATAAACTAAATATAATTTTCACCGACACGCAAGACCTTATTATAGAAATAGTCCTCCCTACATTAAACCTACCTTTATCTTTAATACTAAACTACTATTATTGGCTATCTGCGATTTCCGATATTCGGAAATTCGACCACAGGTCAACCCCCTAAGGTCAAAGCCATACTGTGGTCAAACCACCAATGATTAAAGCCTCTATGGTCAAAACACAGGTAGCCAAAGCACCTAGGACCCAATTTACATATATGCGAGTACGACTCATCGAGCCAAAGTAATCGTTAAAGCTTGCCAGGCTCACGTGAAAAGACTTTTCAGTTCTTCATCTCCTCACAACTTACGCTCTCTTTTACTTTCTCGTATACAGAATATGGAAGAAATATTGTAATCGTGTACAAAAATAACATGAAATTTCGAAAGTTTTCATCATTTTACACCTCAATACTTAATCATATAAGGAGTATAAAGGACTTATTTTAATTGGGCAAAAATAAGAAATGCAGATTTATCAAAATTTCAGCGTTATATGAGTAATCAAGTCGGGAAAACTGGGCTTTGCAAATCTGTCCGTATGTCTGTGTGTGTGTATGTGTGTCTGTAATAACGATAACTTGAGTATCGTTACAGCTAAGTTGATGAAATTTCATATACATATCTTTATAGTAATCAAAATAGTAATGTATAATTTACTTTTTAGTACTTTTTAGCTTGTTATTAAAACGGGTTTTAATTAAAAAAAATTTCAGTACTTTAAATTTTTTAAATTTACAATATGAAATAAACCGGGAGTGATCTCCCCTAAACTTTCTCGAATATTCTTATATAAAATAACAGGGGATGGGAACTCGGGCTATAGACATGATTTTTAATCCATTTTAAATACTTAAAGTTTTAAAAATAGAATAAAATCTCGTAGACAAATTAATTGCACACCAAGTGAACGCGAAATAAAAAAGCGCATAATATAGCGCAATATTATTATTACTTTTAAAATTTACATTAGTTTTTTGAGAAATCGGAAGTAGCGTAAAGTACTACTTCCAGTCAACGGAAATGACTCAAAATTTAATAGAAGGTAGAGAATTAGATCTTTTACTTACGTATGAAATTTCATTTATCTATCTGAAATAGTACTCAAGTTATAGGCTTTTGAAAAATTCAAAGTAGGAAAAGTACCACTTCCGGTTATCGGAAATCGCTCAAAAGTTGATACGGATCTACGATTTTGATTAAATACTTATATATGAAATTTCATCAACCTAGCTGTAACGGTACTCAAGTTATCGTGTTTACACACGGACACACACACACACACACAGACACACAGACATACGGACAAGATTGCAAAATTATGTTTTTCCGTATCAGTGAGATGCAAAACGTCAAGATTTGCAAAAATCTCGATTTTTTTTTTGCACGATTACAAGACTTTCTCTATACTTCGTATATACGAGAAAGTAAAAAATGACTAAAAACTATCCCCACCTAATGAACGTGATGACGCGTGTCTAATAGTGCGGAATAGTTTGATGAGAAAGCCTTCTAATTTGGACACAATTTTAATTAATTCATAAAACATTAACCAGGCAACCGATTAGGTCAAATTTAATGTTATGTTGCATTGTCTACATGTCTTGACCCACGAGCCAACGTTGAAACAAATCTGTCAGTTAGAAAAGTCTGAAATTTTGCTCGGGCGTTCCGATCTAGACTGACGACATAGACAGTGCGTTAAATAAAAGCTTTTAGAAATAATCTAATTGTAAAGTTTGATAGGACGATTGTTTGAGTGTTAATTGAGAGGTTTGGGTTCAATCCCCACTCTTAGACAAAACATTATCACTGAGTCAATTTAGCGCTAATGCGTACCTTACCATGCACATCTCAAGCAAACTCTTCCTATGCCTTGACCTATGCTTTTATAAAAAACGTTTTAATAACAAGCTTGTATGTAATCTATATACTACTAAAAGTTAAGTTTGTTTACATGTTTGAATATTTATTTTTTTGTTTGTTTGTTTTTTTTTTTGTTTGGCTGATCGAGTATTGTGATATGTTCTACTCTATCTGGAGAGCTGTAAAATAGTATGTAGGTAGAGAAAAAATTTTGTTTTAAGACAGACTGTTAATCACACATTTATTTAAAGACGTTAATTAATTTATTGATTTATTCATACGTAGAGTAACCCTATTTTTTTTAAAGTTTAGAACGACCACTACACTCGGCGGGACCGTGACGTCACAGTTTTTTTGTTTACTCTTTAGTACAATAAAATGGCGGCGTCTATCGAAGAAAATTGTGTTCCCATTCAAAAGTTTAACGCGTTCTAAATCTAATTTTCTGTCGGTCATAACTTTAACAATACGTCCGTTTGCTGTATTTATTACGTTCCAACACTTATATCAATTTTCAACTGTCTTTTTTCATTTAGTTTTACAATAAATTTCTCTAGATCTAAAGATCAGCTGTCGAAGGAAAGTTATGAATCTAGCCTAGATCTAGCCTAGATCTAGGTCACTAGACTCAATGTAAATTCTAGATCTAGGCTTAATGTAAATTCTACATCTAGAATCTATTTCAGGCCTTAATACATCTAGAATCTATTTCAGGCCTTAACTATTTTATATAAAACTTTGTTTGGCTAATTTAAGATAAAATTTAATTTGAAAGTTACTACTACTAGACTTAGATCTAGACCTATGCGCGTAAATCAAGTTGCATAAGGAGACTCAAAGTATAGTATAAAAATTCATTTGTGACGTCACGAGAAAATAGCTAAGTTGGAAGCGTAGTCGGCTCTCATGCGGGTGGCACAGGTTCTAGACCAATATGTCAATGATATTTTTTTTTCAATTTTTTTTTTTAGATGTGAATGATAAAGTTGCCTATCTGAACTTGGCAGGATACAGGGCAGGTGAAGTAGAGTTCATCTGTTTCTTTGTCCTAAGCATATGAAAGGATAGTGTGGTCAGAGACATGCTCGGCTGGAATCGTTTTTTAAACGATAAAAACATGTTGTCTGAGACTTGGCGGGACACTGGGCCGATGAAGTAGAGTTGAGTAGGTCACATGTGACGTCAGTATATGAAGGGATAGTCCGAAATCGGTGTTTTCGGTGTTTTTAAAAGATAAAAAACATATTTTTGAATGTGGGGTCTGTTTTTTGTGACGATAAGTGACACTGCAGTAGCGTAGCGAGGAGGGGGGGGGCGGGAGGGGCGCCAAAATGGTTTGGAAAAATAAATTGAAAGGTTGAGGGGGGTGCAAATCAAAAGTTTGAGTGGGGCGGGGGGTGCACATCAAAAGTTTGAGGGGGGGGGGGGTTGCAAATCGAAATCTTGCGGGGGGGGGGGGGGGGGGGTTCAAATCGAAAAGTTTGTCCCCGGGCGCCGGGAAGGATCGCTATGCCTCTGAGTGACAGACGTGATGTTTTTTGATGGATGACCCCCGAAACCCACAGTTATCCAACGGATGACGGGGATCTAGTAATGTACTAAAAATGAGAAAATAAATTATACACTACTATTTAAATTACTATAAAGAAAAGCATGGGTCTCTTCCTAAATATTAGTAAAGGTATCCAATAGATACTAAAGTGACCGACGCTTTTCTTTATAGTATTTAAAATAGTAATGTATAATTTATTTTATAATTTTAGTGCATTATTACATAAAAGCTTATTATTAAAACGTTTTTTATGAATATTTTTTATAGTACTTTACAGGTTTTATTTACACTAGATTTGCATGACTAAAAACCATTGCGCACCTATTGAACGTGATGACGCGTATCTAATAGCGCGGAATAGTTTGATGAGACAGCCTACTAATTTCGACACAATTTTAATTAATTCAAAAAAAATTAATTAGTCAACACTGATTAAGTCAAATTAAATGTCATGTTACATTGTCTTCATGTCTTGACCCACATACCAACTACGAACTGTATCTGTCAGATAAAAGTGCCTGCAATTTCGCTCAAGCGTTTCTAGCTAGAAAGACAGACTGACGACAGACTGACGACAGAGGAAGTGAGTTAAATAAAAGCTTTCCTTAAATAAAAGATTTCCTCGACGTTAATAAACCATGAATCGTGGATGTTTT